AAACGAGTGATAAAATAATTATTTCCAATTATTTAAATTTATTTTTTTATATAAAAAATAGAACTAAAATTGAAGGATAAATTAGTTAAAACTTGTCTTAGTTATTATTTTTTAAAAAAATATGTAAAAAATACGATAGATAATTTAAGACGGACGACGTACGTGTATGCATATTCCATCCCAACACTACGTATGGAATTTATCAAAAGAACGGCTTCAGTTATTTTTTGCAAAATCGATTAAAAGAAAATGCTTTCTCTTTTAGCTACAAAATCTTCATCTAATATAGTTCATGTCTATATGGCCCATTATTAAGACATTTAACATTATATTTCATAATTAGTTTTTTAATTTTATATATATGCTCGTAAATTGAAAATTTATAAAGGAATTAAAATCTTTTTTTTTTTTGTTCTTTTTATTCGTGGTATATATGGAAAATTTGGCCAACTTGGTTAAAGAATTATTCTCTTGGAACTTTGTTGACAATTTTTGGACTTATATATTACTTAATAAATATAATAAGATTCCACTAATTAATAGATCACAACTAATAATATCCTATTATTTAATTAATGTTTAAGCTATGGTAGCACATGTAATTTTTTTAAATATTAATCTTTGGAATACGAAAATGACGGTGCAAGAAAAATCATACCCCAAATATATATATATATATTGGAATTGTTAAAAAGTAAATTAAAAAAGAAAAAAAAAACTCTATAGTTACATCAAACATATAAATACGTAAGTGGTACATGTTTCTAATACACTTCATTAATTTAAAAAATATTTGAATACACGTATGTTTTTTTATATTTTGATATTATTATGATTGCCCCACGTAAAAAAAAGAAAATCAAAAATTATAAATGATCGAAGAATATTACTTGACGATTTAGTATATTTCTGAAGATGGTAAATTTTAAATTTTTGATTAAAGATAAAGAAATTTTGATTCATCTCATCACAACTAATATCAGTGTTGATAAATATTCATGTTTCTTTCTTCTCAGTATATTGCATTTTATAGACAACTAAGTCTCTCGAGAAAATATAAATAAATACACTTCTTATAACCAAAAACATCTTAAAGAGAGATCAAAATATTTTGTTAAATATACGACGTAAACAATAACAAGATTAAAGAGACATACAAGGGCTCACATTAAACAATAACAAGATTATCCAATGAATATATTTTTAATTTATTTATCATAGAAATAAAGAGATATACAAATATTATATGTAATATACTTTTAAATTTATGTATCAAAATACTTTATATTTATACAGACGTCAAAAAGAATTACTTCAAAAAGATGTAATATGGTAAGTGGTTAGTATATCCTAACATAAATATCAACAATTAATTATATAACTCGAATCTCATAATCTACAAGCTAAGTCATATATCAAACAACTTTATCATTTTTTTCTTCTAAAACTCCCTTTTTAATTAAAAATTATTCATAAAAGAAAAAGGTAAATATAATCAAGTGATTTTGGTACATTTAAACTATAGAATAAATACTTGGAGGTGGACCATAAAATTCCCTTTGAATTGTCTAAAATTCAAAAAGGATGTTAAGATGTTTAGATCAAAGGTTGTACCATAAAATTCCCTTTGAATTGTCTAAAATTCAAAAAGGATGTTAAGATGTTTAGATCAAAGGTTGTAAGCCTTTAATTTCTTTACCAAATTCCATTTATTTCTTTTTGAAAAATAAGTCAAAAGTTGCTCTCATTTCTGTTTGATCATCAATTTCGTACACCAACTATTTTATGACACCATTAATATTATTTCATTTACTATTTACCACTACATATATCTATTCGCACGGTGACAAAAATAACTTTTAGCAACATTAATTTTAATACTAATAGAGAGTGTTAAAGTCTCTATATGATATTAAGTGTCATTAGAATCAGTGTTGCTAAAAACTTTAGGGACATATACAAAAGAGTGACAATTGCCACTAAAAACACATATTTAGCGGCAATTAAGAATTAAATACCGCTAATGATCGCTTTTATTGTAGTGTCGTGATTAATGTCTTTCAACAGTCAAAATATTCGAATCGATGATCTATTAAAAATATTATACTTTTATTTATAAAATTATATTTAATATATTATTATTGTTCTTTTTTAAAAATTGAATCTCCAACTTCTTAGCTATAACAAGTTAAATATTTCTAGATAAATAACGTCGATGTAAAAAGAATTGACAATACAATAATAATGTTTGTGTAGTTTTTATTGACTATCGACTATTTTCTATCAACAAAATAACTGTAGCCAACAATATTTAAAAAAAAAAAAATCACCGAAATATTATTGTGTCTATTATTTTCTATTAATGGATCTAGTATATTTTATTTTTTTTGTATTAGATTTTGTGTTTGTTGTGACATTAGGAGTTGTTATTTATTTTCGTCATAATACACAATAAAGTCACATAAACACGTGTTTGTGTGTCACCCACCCTTCAAAAAGTTTGCATCAGCTCCATATATTATTTTTAAATAATTTTTCCATTTTAATAAATTTAAAAATTATTTATTATCAAAAAATTAGTAATTTTCGACTAACATCTTATGAAAAATTGATGTGGTAAAGTAAAAAATTATCGACGAAAAAAACATAAATTTTTTTTGCCCAAATCTAAATTTTATGGTTTAATGAAGAAATTTTACTTGAAAATTAACGAGGATGATAAGTATCTTCACGTAATTAAGTTGAGCTCTATAAATAAATATATATATATATATATATATTTTTATTTTTTTTGATAAATAACATTTTACTTTTATGATAACATTTTTTTAAAGCTTATCAATAGTAGTTGAGATATATATTCTCTTTTTATTTGATCTTAATTAATAATATAATTAATTTAAAATTAAACATGAATCAGATAACTAATATACCTAAAATAAGGTAACTAATAATTTATTCATGTCATGTCATCTTTTTAAATTTATAGTTTATTTTATTTTATTAAATCACATTATAATGTATTTAGTATAAACACTTTTTCGTTAAAATTATATACAGATCATATAACTAATTTACCTAAAATAAGGTATTATTGAACCGATTTTATAATACTTTCTGTGAATTATCTAACTCTAGAAGTAGACTGCTTTAATTAATAATTGTCCCAATTGCAACATCACACCAAAGTACATTAAATGACAAGTAATTGTTCGTTGACAATTTTAAAAAATAAATTATGTAGACCAAAATTGGGATAATATTCTTTGCTATTTTTTAAATTGATTAATAAAAAAGAACTAGTCAATAAATAAAACACAATAATAAAGTCTAGTACCAAGAATTGACATTTTCTAGCACATAAATTTTAGCATTTTTATTTAATTTTATACAACACTAATTTCTCATTATCTTTAATTACATATTTTTTATAGTTATAAAATTCATGAGATTGTTTAAGATCATCATATTTAGATATTTTTTTCTTTTCTTTTTAAAGTCTAATTAAATATTGTTGCATATTAAGTATGTTTTTTTCCTCATTAAAAAGGAATTATTATCGATATACAATGACGAAGTTAAATCAATATATTTAATTTCAATAAAGGTAAAATGTGGAAAATGCTAAAAGAGAAAATTGTTATTCAATAGAAAACAAATTATTTCAAACAAAGACAATAAGACATCAACGTTGAAATATTATGGTAAACAGCTTAGTTGAAAAGACAAAAAAAAAACATATATGAAATTATTATGCTGGTATTGTTATCGAAGATTTATCGAAAACAGTTTCTTTATATCGATCATATCAATAAAAATAATATTTATTTATAGACATATATCTTATTTATGTCGAATCTATGAAATTACACTGAATATATAGTTATTGTTATTGATCTCTAAAAGATCATTTCTAATTAATTGTAATTGAAAACTTATTCTACTAAAATTATCAATTAATTATACCTCAATCTCAAATAAATTGGGATTTATGAGGTGAAACTATTTGCGTTGGTTCTCCTCTATTTTGCATTTAAATTCGCGATTTTTGACTGTTTTTATTTTTATATTTATAATTAAAGATGTAATCGTCCCCAATAATAATTCACTCATAAAAATACTTTATAATTTTCTATTTTTGAAAATATACACCGGAATAAAGTACTCCAACAACAATATAAATAAATAAATTAGTTATCTGTACTCTAGTTTACGTTTATATAGATTTTGTAGTTATAAAATTATTTTTCCATCTCAATTTACATTATATTTGACTTATTAATCTAGTATGCAGTTTAAAACAATTAATAAGAAAAATTTAATACAAAATACAGTTAAAATCTCTCTCTTTAATTCTTTAATCATTGTCCATTTGCATGCCTTTTAGCTAAGAATAATTAATGATAAGTGCAATATAAGAAAAAAACAATTAATTCTCTCTTGCTATTTAAATTACCAAATATTTTTTTAAAAAATTTAATTTTATAAAATAACTAAATAAAAACGAAAAGAGATACTTATTTTCAAAATAAATAATGTAATATTCTGTTAGACTAGTTAAAAAGGAAAATATAACATAATTGATTAATATTCCTAAATTAGTACTTAGAACAACGTCCACAAAAAGTAAAAATAAATAAATTAAACAGTGTATTGCAGCCATGCCTAATATTCGTAAAGAATAACTATAATAACTATTCTTCAAATTTACCATCAAAACGTTGGTATTAATTATATTACGATGAATCATATTGCTTCTTCTTATTTTTAAAATTTTTATTTAAATTTTGAATAAAAAGTGTTACTCTCGAATAAACTTCACCTGATCTCAATAAATAAATTAGTTAAATTTCAATATATGTAACGAACACGAAAATCAAAAAGAAAATATTCTAGAAAATTATTATTCCGTTAATCAAGATTATTATTACAAAAAGTTTAAATAAAAGAACCTCGTGACGGTAATCACGTTAGTACATACTTAGCTTAAAGATTTTAATACTACTTAGTATTAATTAAAAAAAAAAAGGTTGTCTTTTGCCTAAATTTAAGAAGATCTGACAATGAAGCAGCACCTTCAATTCTTGAGTCACTGTCCTATGAGGAAGAGGGAGGAGAGTGGAAATTGAGAACTTAAAGAAAAAGTTGCTTTTTTTTTCTTCACAAAATACAACAACCCCTCTTCCTCTTTAGACCCAAAATCTAGGGAAAAAGCAAGATTTTGAGGTTTTTTGATAATTTTAGGAGGTGGGTGTGAATCTTTTTTGGGTAAATTTATAGTGGGATCAAGAATGGTGTGTATAACTGAAGATATGATTAAGCAATTGCAGACTTCAATGGATGAAAGTTAGTATCTTTACTACTTATTATGATCTTGCTTGTACATTTCTTTTGAGTCTCAGCTTTTTTGAGTTTGGATCTCTAATTTTGTTGTTGTTGTTGTTGCAGTTGCTGAGCCACTTCAGAAAACTTTCCAGGTTTTGCTTCTAATTAACTCAACTTTATTTAAAATTTTGCTAAAAAAAAAGTTTCTGGATTTGATCTGTCTACTTGTTGTGATTCTTGATTTTGGTTTATTCAACAGTGGAGGTAAGTTGGTCAATGCCAAGTCAAATTTTTTTAGATTTCTTTGTTTGAGGTTTGACAAACTTGAAATTTTAGTAGGTTAGTTGGTTGACTAGCTAAACTTTCACCTTGTTGGTGGGGTCGATTCCCCACCTTGTAAATCTCATACCCCAATTTTCTTTTAGCAAACTCTAGTCTTGGAATGTTAACCAAATTGCTTTAGTTCTGCTTGCTTGGTGTGATTAATTACACAGAAGGTGCAAATGGAAATTTTCCTTGATGCTTTTTTTCTTGTGGTGGGCTAGTTATGAATCAGGATGCAACAATTTGTATTTCGTGGAGATGGATGTTCAAAGGTAGCATCTTGATGCAGAATCTGAAGTCACCTAAATGAAAATTGGTCAAAATGCAGCTAAAACTTTTCATAGATCTATTGTTTTTGAAATAAAACGCCCTTGTTCATATGTTAGAATGTATATGATCTGCAGTTGGAGAATGCTGAGCATAGTTAATCAACGAGTTACTCCGAAGACTTATATCCATAGCTAATGGTCACTGTGATGACAGTCCATCGAAGTTTTTAGCCAAAGATTGGTCTTTTACCTTGATTATAACTCTCTGTGAATAGCCAGTATCTCCCTTTATATTTATATGGGTAAAGAAAGTTACGAGTTCACGTAGCAGCAGGTGATTGCTCATATTAACACTTAGACAAATAGAAGGCTTATTATATCTGCCGTCAAAACTTAAATTAGTGAAGTGGCTGAACAAAATAAGACGAGCTAAGCATCTTGGCATGTGCAATAGTTAGATACTGAATAAAAGCTTGGCTATTTCATTGCTCAATGTTAATTAGAGGTTTTGAGGAATAAAAATAGAGATCCTTATTAGTGATGTTTCGTGAACCTATAACTATGTTATGACCGTACGTATATGATGTCTCAAATTTTGTGCAGAATGTATATCAGGGGTATCGAACCGAGACACTGGTGAGGTTTCTCAAAGCTAGAGATGGCAGTGTGTCTAAAGCACACAAGATGGTAAGTGCATACAGTTTTCATTCACATTTGAAGCTCAATATTGCTTCAGGATGAATATTGCACCGAGGAAATATTCTTAACTGTAATCAGCACTTTGCAGCTTGTTGACTGTTTAAATTGGAGGATAGACAATGAGATCGATCAGATACTTGCAGTAAGTTTTCTCTTATCATAGAATATTTGAATGGATAACCTTTAGTTAAGTCACAAATAGTAAAGAAATGAAGGCGAATTCCACCTTTACTATGTGGCTGATATTTGTCATTTATTGTTGCAGAAGCCAATTGTACCCACTGATTTTTATAGAGGAGTGAGGGACACTCAGCTTGTGGGGATGTCTGGATATACAAGAGAGGTAATACTTTGATCTGATTATATAATTATCATTGATTAGCTCTCTTCTCATTCGGGTTTATGCAACTTTTGGCGTTGTGCTTGGCCAATATAATCTTATTGTGTGGTTTCTACTTGGTTTTAATGTGTGCAGGGTCTTCCCGTCGTTGCTGTTGGAGTAGGCCTCAGCACATACGACAAAGCATCGGTAAGGGTCATTAGGTTGGGTTATTTAGCCCTGTTAACAAGTCAATTCAGCTGCTCAAACATCTTTTTTTTTTTCATTTGTCTCATACAGGCGGCATTAAAATACTGACATAGTGTTTTTCTATTGTAGATTCACTACTATATTCAATCACATATCCAAATGAATGAATACCGTGACCGTATAATATTGGTATGTCCTTGTGTTTGTTCATTCAAATAGGAGATAAATACGAAAAAAATATCCTATGATGTTGACTGGCTGATGTTCATGTTACAGCCGTCTGCATCAAAGAAATTTGGGCGGTATATTGGGACCTGTGTTAAGGTTTTGGACATGACTGGTCTAAAGCTTTCTGCGCTAAACCAAATTAAGGTATCTCGTTATTTGTTTGACATTGTAATTATACTTCATCGACCTTCCTACCAAAATCCTACTGTGTAAATCCTTATCATCTTTTTTCTAGTCAACATTCTTCTTGGATGTATAGATTCACTTATTTCGCTGAAAATCTTTGGTTCTGCATTCGTCGTCCACACTAATAGTTCTTGTTAAAGTTTTGAAATGATGTTCAATTGTCACTTTCTCCAAATAGAGATAAAGTTTTAAGTTTTCGGAGTTAAAAAGACTCTTTTGAGTGCATTTGTTCATTCACTAATTACTGCTATTTACAAAATTTGAACTTTTGATTATTGATCATCAATTACTCAAACAACATAAAAATAGCATATATTGGAGCGCCAAGAGAAGTTCTTGGGTGGTACTGGAGATAGAAAGTAACCTGCATCAGACATATAGATATAGAAAGGATATGGATGAAAAAATAGTCACAAGGACGAGAACAACAGGAGTTATAGGCTTATAGCAACTAGAAGCTCAAATGAGATGGTGCAATAATAGTGATTGAAGTGATAAAAGGGGGATGAGTAAAACTAAAATTGCATTGAGAGAAGACATTTCGAAAGATGTATGATATCTCAACATCAATGCACACTTAAACTAAAAACATAGCAGAATGGAAGAAAAGATCTATACAGGTGATCCAACTAGTTAAGAAACTTATGTTTTTCAAGAGTCTTTTTGGTCTTGTTAATACTTAGATGTGGATGTGGCATTCACCCGAGGCCTGGTGGCTATAACAAGGTGGTGTCTAGCCCAATTTGTGTGTGCCTCGATAATTCCACCGAATATTTTCTACCTCGCACCAACATAGGCGTTGAATAAATAACTACCGAAGGCTTAGGCAGGAAGAAAAATAGTTATTAGTTTGTTGTAGAAAACAAATCATTTGTTACTGGAATCAAAATGAATGTAGAGTATCATATAGCTGATTCCAATTACTTTGGGATTGAGACATTTGATTGATATTGATTATTGAAATGATTTATTCATTCATCTTTTTTAAACTTGACATTTTGTTTATTCCTCTTGTAGCTCTTAACTGCTATATCTACCATGATGACCCTAAATTATCCCTGAGAAGACAGATACATATTACATTGTTAATGCTCCATACATATTCTCAGCCTGCTGGAAGGTTCGTGTCTAACTTGTAATTATGCACGAGTCTTGCTGAATCAGTTAACCTAAAGCCTAACTATGTACAAACTAGCAGGTTGTGAGACCTCTTTTACAAGAAAGAACTAAAAAGAAAGTCCAAGTGCTCTCCGGCTCGGGAAAAGATGAACTGTTGAAGGTAAGATGTCTTTTTTCTTTTGAGTGGAAGGATCAAATACACCAGCTGAACTATCACCAAATGTTTATCAAAACACACCTCAACTATTAGTTTTTCCATTATCACACCCAAACCAAGTAGGAAAAGGGAAAAACTTCTAGTTGAGTGTGTGTTTCGATACACAATTAATGATAGTTCAGCTAGAAAGGTAGTTTAGGTATGGAACTCGAAAAGTGGAATTCTTCATTTGTGTTTTTGACCCTTCCAACAATTTTTTTCTTATTATGAGTTATCAAAGGTAAGATGATGTTCTTTAAGTCGATTGCCTTTTATCCGTTGATTCTCTCACTTCAGGAGAGGCTTACTGTTGCAGATGAACTCAATACTATTCTTTGTAGTTTGTAGAATCCATCTTTATTCGCATTAATAATGTTTGGTCATATACCTCGTGTTTCTGAGGAATACTATACTTGACTTCAAATCTAACTAGAATTATCTCTTAATTCTCAATTTGCAGATAATGGATTATGCATCGCTACCACACTTTTGTAAAAGAGAAGGCTCGGGTTCATCTAAACATGGTAGAAATGGTACAAATGATAACTGTTTCTCCTTTGATCACGCTTTTCATCAGCAACTCTATGATTATACTAAGCAACAAGCTCTAGCATTAGAGGCTGTAGCACCAAGCAAAGAAGGATCTGTCCATGTGACCTTACCTGAGCCTGATCCAGATGATGCAAAGATTGCTGAAACAATTGAATCCACATTCCATAGAATGGGGGAGAAAAACGGAATTTGTCAATCATTTCATGAAATAAAGATCAATGGCGATTGAAGCTGATTCGCTGTAGTCTTGGTAACTGCTTATTTTGAATCCAGACGAGAGGATTTAAGTAAGCGTTGTTATAGTACTAATATGGCTTGCATCATCTCGATGCAGGATTTAGTTAGAAGCTAAGTTGTAACATGGCATTTACGCTACCTTGGAGTGGACTATCATATGAATAGTCAAAAATGTTTATGCTCCCCACAAAGTATTTTACGCGAATTTCGCTGATTTGATCTGATTTTTGCTGCTGCTTTCATGATATCTTAATCTTCTCCAGATAGAATAAACTTTCTTCTGGGTTTAAGGACTGTAAAAGAAAGGGGGTAAGGGGGAAGTTATGATAAATAAAAAGGGACAAGAGAACCTTTTGTATATTTTTCTGTGTCTTGTCCATCTGATATGGTTTTCTTGTCCAAGCACAATATGAAGAAACTTAGTAAAAATACCCCCCTCCATCCAATTTATGTGACATCAATTAACTCGATATAAGTTTTGAAATAAATGAACTAACTTGTGTTCATAAATAGCTGTTTAAAGTTAAAAATGGAGGACAAATCTACCATATTTTTCCTTAAATAATAAGAGCCACCAAGGACAAAGCTACCATTTTTTTCCTTTAATAATAAGAGCCAACAGATTCAAAGATCAAACAAACACTTCAGACACCAGGAAGTGTTGGAAACATGCAAACAAAAGAAGGCTCCTAAATTTACAGAACCAATAGTCTATCATTACAACACTATTTGGCATAAATGTTATCCCCCCAAGTAAATCAAATTCTAGACTTCATTGCAAGTGACTTACACACATGCAATAACCTAAATTTACATTAGACAAAGCACATAATTGTTTTTAACCAACAATGAAATCAAATGTGAACTTCTTTATAAATAATATTACTTCAGCTGTCTGTAGCAGTTGAAGGCATAGGCAACTGATATGGCAGCACCAACAACAGCAAGAACTGCATACGTATCTTCACGCTCCCAGCTCTCGTACCAAGTAGGCATTGAGCACACCTTGCGAGAACGAGTCCCTTTGCCACTGCTACTTCGAGAAACTTGTCTCTTGAAGCTGCTCTTCTTTTCGGTTGTAAACTCAGCGTTCTCTTGGTTGAGATTGAAATTGTCTGCATCAACTGGTGGTTGAGTGGTCTGACAACATGAGACATTTCCATTTGCCTGGCAACAGCCCATACCCTCTAATTGGGATCCACATGTGCGAATACCAACATCATTTGAGTTTATGGTGCCTCTGTCCACATCTGTTCCACCATAAATGCTGAGCCTATGTTGTTGGGATGCTTTCTGTTCATCTTCAGATAGCCCCATCTGGCCCCTGAAACAAGACATTAGTATTCTAGATTAACAAATGCAAAAACGCCTTCTGCACCTGCAGATAGATTAGCTAACAGATGAATCTTGAAAACCCAATTTTTCACCTCTACAAAATTAGGATGGTTGCTACAGGACACTTCCCCTTTAGTACTTTAGATCACATTAATGAGTAAACTTGAATTAACATTATGTGTTCTTAAACCCTCAGAACTTCACGAAGCAGTGAGTTACCATTGAATACATCTAAAATTTTTGATTCACCAAAAACACAAGCTATGGTCCATAGGAAGATCACGGCACGGGTTATGGAACTTAAGCCGTTTAAGAGGTAACAAATATTGACATAATAATGCCAATACATAACTTGCATCCTAACCACAATTTTTAATGTAACATTCCTAATGTTTTAGAGCTGACAAGTACATAATAGCTCAAAAACGAGTTACATTTATCTAGAAGCAAGTTTCATTTATTCCATGACCAGAATTACACGGGGATATATAGCTCGGAGACGTAGTTCTCAAGATGCGATTATAATAGCAACAGGAGAGAGAACTTACCTCCACAACCAATCAACAATCTCTCCTTTAGCAACATGCTGTTCAAGCAACTGTGGTACATCATCAGGTGTAACATAGCCATACCTAGTGCACGACAAAAACAAACATATAATTAACTACCCAAGTAAATTTCATCAACTGCCTACAACTGAGAGAACAATTTCCAAAAGAAAAGGGGCAAAAGGATTTTTCCTAACCAGTGTCCGGAGACTTCCTTGTGAGTGTTTCGTCCATATATGATCACATTTCCAGCAAACTTGTGCCCCCCGATGTGTGAGCATGGACTAACAGATACTTTTCCTTGAAGACCATTTGATTCTATTTCCTCCAAAAGTCTACTAACTATAGCTGGTCCACAAACACCACATCGACGATCTCTTGAACCATGACAACACACAAATATGTACCATCCAGTCAGAGCTTCAGGATTTCCAGGCAACCATTCACCATCCTTCACAAGCACCTCCTCAACAAATGTGTCAACATCAAAATGAGTCAATCTCCTGCACCATAGGTAAATTCAATGTCATTTAATAGATATGTAATCAACTGCTGCAGATGCACTAGAATAGTATAGCATCGTTTAAACCTGTATCTGATCATGTCCGGAAAGATCAACACATCCCCATTCGATGTCTCAGTTCCATCATGCCCTTCACATATTGTCAACCGAGTCTGGACGAAAGAAAAGTTGAAGGTAAATCACTACAGATATTACTGGGATCATAAAGAAAACATAACCAACTAAGCAATTTGCTTTAGAAAGGGAATTTGTAAAAACTACACAAGCCCAATCAGAATGAGATCAAACGAGAACAATTTACTCTTCAACTTGAGCCAAAGCTATAAAGATTAGACATTGGCAAGTTACTGATCATTTAATCATAGAGGTGGATCGAAAAATTTGAAACTTGGGAAGAATGTTAGTCAGGAATAAGAAAGAAAAAAATTTGCAAACGCAAAAAGTCTATGAGAACAGAATGTAGGACCTAACTTTGCAGTTTGCACTTTGTTCTATCACTACATGCAGGAAAAACTTGGTCCACACATACCAAAGTAGCAACAGAAAACAGTAAGGCACGTCCCTCTTTCGAAAGAAAGCATCAGCTTAGATAAATGAAGTTTGAACTCGTAAGCTGAATCAAACCAATCACACCTTAAGCACATTAAGGTTCGCTGTACAAATACTTCGTATTCATTTGACTCTAATCAGGCCCATTTCATACAAATTCTCCTTTCAGTAAAATTAAGAGAAATCTAGAATTTAAGTTCAGGATTATTCGATCAAAACCCTTAGTCCATTAGGGGGATAGCATACATTCAATCCGGATAAGACACTGAGATGAAAGATGAATCAAGCAAGAAAGGGACCGCTTTTTCTAATGAGAGTTCTTCTTTGGGGTTAGTCTGAGTGTCTGACTGTCCTCGTTCAAGTTTGTAGGAGTGCGAATAAGAGGATTGTAGACGGTTTAAAAGACTTAATCTTTTATTGGTCAAACTCCAATAAAAAATTTAATCTTTTAGCTCCCTGTCCCTAATTTAGCAACTTTGTTGTTCTAAAGCTAACATTACTTTCTGATTTTGTAACACTTTGCATCTGCTTAATGCCTATTAATGATATTTATTAACAGATGACACGGAACACATACGCCGTGTAATGCCCACAAGTGGTGTCTTGAGAGAATACATAGACCTTACCCCTACCTTTATGGGGCAGAGACTTGTTTCCGAAAGACCCTCCCCGTGCGACAAAATGAAAACAAGTAAACAGGTTAGCAACAACAACAATGAGCATTTCCAGAAGCTAATAAAAGTTCTACAATGCAGGATAACTCAACATTTCAAAAGCAGCAGTCAAAGATTTGCAAAGATAACAAAATTCAAAAATGACAACAGAATAAACCTGTTTCTTAACATCATTCTTCCGAGCGGTAAGAGCAGCAGCAAGAAGCCTAGGCAATCGATCAAACTCAGCAGCCTCAATACGAGGAGGCCAAACTTGAGGATTCTTATAGCAAAGGAACACGTGGCGTTCATAGAAATCAACAGTACCAACAAGCTGCGTCTGGCGAAAATCAGGACGGGAGAAACCAAACTCAGCATCAGCAGCGGCGGCGGCGCCGCCATCAGCACCGGAGAGAAAACCCTCGTTCTGGAAGCTTCCAGAAGCGCTACCGATCTGAGAAGAATCTAGAAGGAAGCTGTCGGCATCGGAAACAGTAACAGGAGAAGAAGTGTTAGGGTTTATGAAATCGTCTCTGTTCGCCATTAACGGTGAGTTTGAAGCTTTTTGACTCATAAGTTCTCAGTACAAAATGGAGATGAACAGAGTAAAGACCTTCTAGGACATTGAAATATAGACACTTACCATTAAAAATAAATATAAAAAAATATACTTATTTCTTTCTTTTTCATAAAAAAAAAACCGATTATAGCATTTAATTTAGCATAAACATCGAATAATAGGTCTATTTTTAGTCATTATGTTATAATTATCGTAACGGTATAATTTAACATAACTAGTTATGAACTTACCTGTTCTTCGCATAAAATAGTCGTTGAATTTTTAATTCCTTGGTATGAACCACTTGAGATGACATATTTTTAGTAGTTATACAATATTTATTATTTGGTTAATACCTAAATGCATAGTTTAACTAATGAACTGTTGTATTTATAGCAAAAAAAATTCTACTTGTTATATGTTTATTAATTATCTTCTTGACTTTTATACGAAAGTATGAACTAAACTATATGAGTATCACGTGAATTAACTTATGAAACAGATTCTCTTAAGAATGAACCATATGTAATAATTGCATGTGTTTTACTCGTGATGTTAGTTTATTATGATGCCAATAGTATACTAGTGCATAGTTTAGCTAATGAACCATTTGTTTTTGTAGTAAATATATAATTCTAATTGTCGCATCACATTTACCGTGATAACAATATCATAGCAGAAAATTTAGTTAAATATGAAAGTATCTGGATATAATTTAACTAGTTATGAAACTACACGATCTTCATATGAAATAGTCGTGAATTAAATACTAATTTATATAAACAGCTTGAAATAACGACATGTTTTTAGTCTTTATACAACATTTATTGTTTGTCTAATGTCTTAATGCATAGTTAAATTAGTAAATTTTCTGCATTTATAACTCTTACAAATTTCTATTTGCTATATTTTCTTTATTCTGATCTTCGTATGAAAGTGTGTACAATCTAACAGCCAACTATAAAAGTATGTGCCTCACGTGAATTAGCTTACGTAAAAGATTCTCTTTAGAATGAACAATTTGAAATAATTACACGTGTTTTCGTCGTTATGCTGCATTTATCATTAGGCCAATTGT